GGGGGATGGAGACCAGCAGGGGCGAGGCAGAAGATGCTGGGGTCCTAGGTAAGCAGAACCCAAAGAGATTTCACATCCAAGACTCAAAGTCCAAACCCACCTTTGGGCTGGGAGAGGCAAGGTCAGAGCCAGGCCATTGTGAACTGGGGCTTGGTTCTGGGCCATTTGGTTAAAAGAACTTAAGTCCTGAGGAGGCAATACTGAGGATAGAAGCGTCGAATGGCCCCTGAATGTGTGGAGAGAAGGGAAAGAAAGGCCAGGAGCAGCAGGGACGACACACTTGGCCATGTCCTCAGGATCTCAGACCGTGGAAGCAACAGGCCAGTGCGATCTTGATGTCATCTCCACCAGAACTGAATGGACTGAGCAGTCTCTCAGTGAAACAGAGTTGTAATCCTAGCTGATGACTCTCTCTCTCTCAACTGTGCAGTCGGTATAAAATGTGTTCTACACCAGAAAAAAAAGTGAAATGAAGGCTTTTCAAATGTGGTGCGAGCTCCTTTTTATAACTGAAGGATTTTTTAGGACAGGAGATTGATTTTTCAAGGCCCTGTGAAAGTGGACCATCTTCATAAACTTTTCTCAAGGAAAATACTCTGGGGAATCACAGGTCTGTGGGCCAGTTCCCTCCTTCTTTATCACCCCGGGCCTGAGTACATTAAAAACCTGCCTTGCTGTCTCTTATACTGCACTAGAGGCATTCCAATAGCTAAAAGATTAAATGCTTTTTTTCTGCTGCAATCTCCTCTCTTATCTCTAAACTTTCTTTCAGAAAGCTACAGCTGGCTTTGCAAAGTAACATTTCCATCGCTGCGAGGTTTTCCCTTCTTACATAATGCAAAATCAGTGAGATCATTTAGCTAATGCATTTAATCCACTAATCCAAGTGATGTTGCTCTGAGCATGTTCAGGGTTTGAGGAGATATTTGTTCATCGCAAGGGATTATGCTTTATGTCTTGTGCTTGCTTGTAGACTGTGCTTCAGAGATGCCGAGAGAGGTGGGGTTTGTAGGGTAAGCCTTCCTGAATGTTAGGACTATCTGGTGGGAGCTACAGAGTCCAAGGCGCTTATCGGTGGGTGGCATTGACAGTGGGAGCCCTTTCATCAGACACAGTCAGATTTACCACTACATTCTGGAAAGCATGGAAGAGAAACAGAGACTCCCGGCCTAGGAGTCAAGGGACACACAGACCATTCCTAGCCTACTGACTCAGTATTTAACTGGGGACAAGTGGCTTAACTGTACTCAGATTCCTCAACCCTAAAGTCAGATAAAAATAGCAATTAACATGTTTTCATGCCTTAAGCATCTCATCTAATAAGTTAGTGTCTTTCTGACCTAGAGAAGTGAAGTGACTTGTCCAAAGTCAAAAGTTCCTTAATGCCCAGGCAGGGAGGGCTTCTCAGCATTTCTGCCTTGTAGCGCGGTGCTCTGTTTACTGACTGTCACCATGGCACTGCCCTGGTTGGAGGACAAGTTCTGAAGCAGTTGAAGTTTGCTTTTGTTGAGTATTCAGCTCAGCATTTTATGAAGTTATAGACCAATGTTTCTTTTTAAGGCAAATGTTAAAAATATATAAATAAGCTGCTTCAGGCTTGCAAGTAAGCTTTACAAACTTGAATTTCATCCTTGTTTAGAGGCTGACTCAGGCTGGACTTTATTCAAACTCCTGTTCTAGCGCCAAAGAAAAATGGCTCCCAAATGTTAGCCTCTCAACACTGGTGCTTCGTCCTTGCCAAAAGGTCCTGAGATTTCAAAGATCCATTCAGCTCTGAAGCGGAGAACAGTGACCTAGATACAGGAAAGCTCATGTTAAGTTCTCAAAACCCATTTGCCCCTTTGTTTGTAAATCTCTTTGGAAGTTCAAGCTGTCTAAAATAGGTTTAAGTGTGTAGCCATCGATGTATGTGTATTTCCACCAAACAGCAGTAGGAATCTATCTTCAGCTTCTTCAAGACCAAGTACACGTTTCTCCTCTTTGCTGATACAGGATCTAGCAGGCATCAGTTTTTAAGAGTCTAGTATTGTCTACACTGACAATCGGGAAATCCACTCCTCCTGGTAATCTCCACAAGCTGGTAGGCAACACCTTGGCCACTTTGGTGTCTACACTGGTTGACTTGCCCCCTGATGTTGTACAGAATCCAATCAGCACTCTCAACATGCTTGTTCCTTCAGTCTTGGAATCAATGCCTAGTCATCTCTCAAATTAATATTAGGCTCAGAGGTGTGTGCCACTGATAACTGATCTGTTGGCCACGTGCTTCAAGTTTTCCATATTTTTCCTCTGTAGTGAACATAATTGGCTGCGTCAACTCCCCACTTCTTACTCCACAACAGAATCATAACTGTCCCCAGCAATTCACCCCTATGTCATGTAGCCAAGTGTCTTCCAGGAAGATAACCCCTTGCCTCACCCCACTGCGCCAGTTTCAAGAATGGGACTGATTCATAAATTCAAACTCTCCAGTTGCAGTGGACCAATTCAGAAATACACGTGGACATAAAGCACACACCTTACAGGCCAATGGGTGGGTCAGAAGTCAAGAATTAAATACCTGCACAACTGCTAACAACAGGTGTTGCTCAACATTAACACTCCATTCCTCTAGAGACGCTTTTGTTCCTGACTTGAAAGGTCCTAAGAGGCCTCTACAGATTGCTCTCAGCCTGTCAGTAAATTTTTGTGGGGAATTCAAAGAATTTTTATCCTTGGATAACTCACTTTGCCCAATTAGGTTTATATTTCATTTGGGAGCCGTGAAGAGGATGAAGATCTGAACTGTTTGATGATATACGGTATGAGATCGGCAGGAGAGACTGCACTACAGATCCTGATACACTTCAAAGGGTCGGGGTTCCTGTACCTTAAAATTGCTGGAATCTGTCCAGGATATTGGGTCCATTAAATTGGAAAAAAACGTACAAAATAAATTAAACTGTAGAAAATTTAAAAATAAAAATAAAGAAAGAAACATAAAAATACCCATAGAAAGACGTATAAACAGGAACAGTGATGGCAAAGCTATCAGAGAAGAGCAAGATTTTTTTGTGTACTTGTTTTGTTTTGTTGCATGTTTGGTGGAATGGCATTTAAATGTTAAATATAGAAAAGAAAATTCCATTTAATAGTATTAACTGTTCTTTTTCCCCGACAGTATTCCCCTCACCCCTCTGGTCCTCCACCCCTTCTGGTTGTCCCGTTTGTCTGAGGACTTTTTACCTCAGGGTAGGAATGTGACAACAAAAGGCAGAGTGTTCTTTTTGCCTCTTTCTGGCTTTTGAGTTTTAAAACACTCAGGCTTTCAGTGAATGGAAAGGACTCACGGAGTGGATAAAATATTTTGGAGACGACCTCGTGAGTCAGAGCAAATATTCCTCGTCCCTTATTTCTCACCCCACCCTGGGCCTCAGACTGATGGCAAACAAAATCCCCAGGTGGGAAGGGAAAATGAGCATCAGAGATAAGCTATGAGGAAAAGTTGGGTGGTTTTGAAACATGGCTCCAAAATTCTTCGACACTTCTCCCATGGACAGGTTGGGGTCTGTGTCTCCTTGCCTTGAGTCCGTATGGCCTTTGGTTTCTTTAACCAGCAGGGTAGGGCAGGAGTGACTTGTATGAGTTCTAAGACAGGCCATAAGAGGTAATGCAGCTTCTACTTTATTTTCTAGAACATTGACTCTTAGTGCCAGGAACTGCCATGTAAGAATTCTGGCTACCCTGAGGTGGCCATGCTCTGAGGAAGCCAAGCCACACAGAGAGGCCATGGTGGAAGCTCCAGTCGGAAGGCTTTGTCTTTAAGTCATCCCAGCCTGGGTTCCAGACGGGAGTAAGTCTCCCCAGCTGAGGACCAGACAACATGGCGCAGAGCCAGCATACCTGCTGTGCCCTGTCTGAATTCCTGACCCACCAAATTCTGTGAGATAATAAAAGCTTGTTTCAGCTGCTAAATTTTAAGCAAATTTGATATGAAGCAATAGTAATTGGAACAGAGGAGGTTGCTTCCCTGTCTCCCTTTTCTAGACTGTCCTTCCTCCTCTCACAACTGTACCCAGCACTTCTGGTGCTCCTAACAAAATCCTACTCTTCTATCCAGACCCAGCACCCAAATTATCTCATCTGTGAAAGTTTTGCCATCATGCCGAGGCCAGACAGAGGTAGCTAGTCCCTATTCAGTGCCCCGATAGCATTGTTTTCATGCTTCAGTTCTAATATGTCTCATAAAGTGCTGTAGTCATTTCTTGATATGCCTCTCAGAATTCTGAGCTCCTTCGGAGCAATACATCCATCCAGTGTGGTGTGGTGGTTGTTACAATACTAGTTCTCAATGAATCATGCCTCTCCATCTCCATGATCGTGGGCAGTTCTCCTGTAAGCTTGGCTATACAATTTGTTTGGGGTGATGGAACACTGGTAAATGTGATGCATGCAGAGGCTTTAAAAAGGCTTATGAAGTGGAGCTTGCCTTTCTTCTTGAAGAAGTCCAGGCTAGCATGCAGGAGACACGGGTCAGTGAGCCGTCAACACCAACTGTCAGACTTCTGAGAGAGGCCACCTGGTACTGGCCAGCTTCCACCGGACTTCCAGACTGACCCTGAAGACATGGATGAGCCTAGCCAGTGTCTCAAGGAGAAGAGAAGAGCCATCTTAGCTGAGCCCTGTCCAATGTGCCAACACCCAGAGTGGCCTTTGTCCTAAGACACTGACACAGCTGACTAATTGCTCCAACAAGCAGTTAATGCATCTTAGTGACCCAACACAGTGAAATTTACTTCTTGTTTAAGTCATAGTCCAATGTGGGCTGATGGTGATGGGAAGAATCTCCATTCTACCCAGCCACTCGGGAACCCAGGCTCCCGTCTGCTTATGAGTCCCCTCTCTCTGCTAGGTCCTTCGAGTCCCCTTCATTTATGTGGCAGATGGGAAAGAGAGAGATGCGGGACTCGTACAAGGGATATATTTATAGGGCAGGTCTGAAAGAGGCACCTAACACTTACCCTTTCATTCTGTTGGCCAGGACGTGGTAACAGAGAGTGGAAAAAGCAGTCTAGCTGTGTGCCCTGAACAAAGAGGAGAACACAAATATTGGTAAGGATTCATGGTCACTGACGCTGGCAGAAATGTTTTATTCCACTCTGTGTGTCCCTCAGTGCCTGGCACAATACCTGGCTTATAATAAATACTTCATAAACACCAACAGAATGAGTGCACAAATGAGATAGTCAGGGCTGCCGTAGTGCCTCACTTAGGACATGGTCTGAGAATGATACGTGAAAGGAACACCTGTCTCATTTGGGCTCATCTTCTCCTAAATCTTGGCATTTGTATCTGGTTTTATGCTAGAGCCTTCATCAACCTAAAAAGCACGGCAAGAAATGGATGTAGATGTGTTACTGTGGCTGGATTCCTGATACTGAGATGATGCCATAATAGCTTTCTCTTATCCTGCAATTTGTAAGACTATCAAATTTAAAAGAACAAATGGAAAGTGTACTTCAAGTTAAGTCTCTGATTTCCCAAATCACTATGTGTGTGTGCATCATTAGTATACTATTCAATCAAGTTACCAGTAACCTAAGCCCTTTTACGTGCAATAGGGTACAAATAATATAGTTTTAAAAATTTACACAATATAATTTTCACTGTATTGTATGATACCATATAAACACACTGAACTGAAAAGCCAAAGAGAACTGCATTCTAGTCTCTATTCTGTTATTAATCATTTAAATTTCTCTGGCTTAGTTCCTTGAGTCCCTACCAGCTATAAAATTCAAGAATTCTTTAAGTCTCTATCATAACACATATGTGAGAGGCACCCTTTATTTTTCTCTATACAGTAATCAAATCAAATAAATATAGATCAAGCTTCTTCAATCAAACTTCAAAGAAGAGTCCCTTTTTTGTTTTCTTTTACCTGAGAAATCAGAATGTAGGGAAATAGACTACAAGGTGTAATCTCTGAACACCAAGTATTCAGGTAGAGAAGATTAAATAGGCTCCAAGAAGCATTTAACAGATCATTAGGGCAGTTGCTCAGTCATGGGGCGGGACATGAGAGGATAACTGGCCGTCTTCTTTTGCTCCTTAATATCATCTTCAATGGTTGCCAGTTACTACTCACTCAAGTGTTTTAAGGCATGGTCTTTTCAAGTGCTCTATTTTGAAATACACACCTTCAGAAGGCTTGACTTAATCATTACCACCTTGGCCTGAGCATCTTTAGACAATCAAGTCCACCGGCAGGGGCTTTAGAGAAAGTGACAGCAAGTGGGAAGGTTACTAACAGCGGTGGTTGTCTGCTTTGCAGCTAAGGGTCCTAAAGGGCCACCTGAGAGCTGGAGGCAGATCCTGGGTACCAAAACGATGGCACCAGGACCATGCTTCTGGCTGTGCTATCCTCCAGAGAAAATTAAAACAGCAAGGATCACTGAGGCAAGTAGGAAGACCACACAGGTCACAGGCGAGCTAACTGGGCAAGCGGAAGGCAGAATACGGAGGCTATGCTTTTGGTTGGAATAAGGTATCATGGAATAGAGAGCAGAAAAGAAACCAAGAGTGGTACAAAGTGTGAGGGAAGATGGTTAGACTTATTCATTGATGCACTTATCCTTCAGCGCATGTCCTAGATGTTTCCTCTTCAATGCTGCCCTTAAGCTATCTTAGCGCGCACTCTCTCAGCTTGCTTTTCAACACTATGACATTCACTTATCAATTCAGTGGAAGGAGAGTGACCCAGTTAATTCAGGGAAAAGAATAATTTACAGCATGGACGCGTGGTTTGTCTAAAGTTTTCACCTTTGGTGGGCTACTCTGATGTTAGAGACAGGGAGAATCCACCCCTGGGAATATGGACATTAGGGACTCTTTGGACCATGCTGGTATCACTCTGAAATGAGAGTTCTTCCCTCACTTCCTCACTACTCAATTCCTTTTCAAAAGAATGCTACAGAACAGATTAACGGTACATTGTTCTTCTGTAATTCTCTGGTTACTCTAACAGAGTCAGGGTAGATTTGAAGAGAAGAAATGCAAACCAGCTTGAGGCTGCACTGCCCAATTTGATCAAAACGAAATGCAACCATCGTGGGTTCGAGTTTGGTGGTCCAAAACACTGGAATGTTTCAAAGACATCTAAAATGCGATGCCAGTGTTGTTTTATTTGGTTTGGGGTTTGCTATCCCTTTATGTTAAACAGGAGTTTGGAAAAATTACACAAAAGACTCACTGTCTATTTTCATGCAGGCCTACATACTAAGTAGCCAGTGTAACTGATAAAGGAAAACATCAAATACGCTGAACAAAGTCTCCACTCACCTACCCCAGGAACTTAGAGGAAGCTGAGGATGAATCAGATCTGATCTTTATTTAGCAACCTACCTCACAGCAGCAACTCTCTCTGAGGCACTAGGTTCTGAGCCTTAGAACTGCACATAAAACAGATATTCGCCTGGACCTCCCTACAGCGACCCAGGTAATACCTGTGTTGAGTCCTTTGTGCATCAAGGGAACTCTCTTTGAGACTGGACCAAGGGTTGAATAACACCATCCCGATCTTCCTAAGGAAGATACAGGAACTAGATGCTGTCTTTGAACCCTGGAGAAATATTCCACTCTAATCCAGGTTTGGAGGAGGACGAGAAGTTAAGTCCAGCATCTAGAGTGGCAAATTATACCTTTGTGATTCACCAAAATGTATTCTTCTAAGAGACTATTTTAAAAAGTTTTGTTTTGTTTGTGTAGCCCAGAGAGCAAAATACAGCATTGTCAGTCAAGACAGACTTCAAACCGCCTGTGCCCGTTAGAAACGTTTCATTAATAACATGTGTTTACCATTGAGAGAAGTAGACTTTGTGTGCTAAGATTTTGTTTGTCAGTCATTCACTGGAACCCCACTGTTAATAGCATACAATGGTTTGTGGTTATGCCACAATTTAACCCAGGTTTAAAAATACAAACTAGAGCCCTGGTGGTCTAGAAGAAACAGGGAGTGAGTGAAGGTATTGGCTCAACCTGCTTTGTGGGCTGGTGGCTTGGAATGCTTTACAAACTAATCAAATTTATTGACTATGATTCTGAGTTAAAAAAAATCACATGCTGGGGTGTGCACCCTGGTTTGACTGCAGTTTGGTGAGGTTCTGAATGTCTGAAGAGGGAAACAAGGCAACTATTTGGCATTCCTTTCCCCAAAAACAAATTAGAAACAGATATCACAGAATATGAGAAGGTTTTTTTTTCCAGCAGTCTAATAAGAAAAAGAGATTTTCCTCTATAGTTTTAATTCTACTGTATGTTAAGGATAAGTAAACAGAATTAATATTGTACTAGGCTGAACAGGCAATGAAATTCCTATTAATTCAGTAGTTGGAGCAGCAAGTGATCTAAAGGCAGCCCAGGAAAAAAGAATGGACTTTACATGTGATATCAGTTTACCTACCGAGGACTGGCTGCAGGTAAGTTGGGATTAAACACTGCTTGCTTCATATGCACTTACAGCAGATATATAACCCAAAGGGAGGAAATTTTACATTTTGCACAGATCTACATGTAAAATGTCCATTTAAAATACAACAAGACATAGCTATCTACAGTAATGGATAGAAAATGCCTTTGTGTTTAATGAGCCACCTCAGTTATGCACAAGCACACGAACTATAAAGAGTTGTTATATGATGTGTTTATGAAATCTCATAGTCATGGAAATAGCACCATGATCCTAAACATTTGTGAAATCTTATATCACATGGGCTTAAAACCAATTTTCCAGTTGCTTACAATGTATCCTTTTAAAAATATTTGCATTTCAAAAATAAAACAAGATCACATTGAGAGAAAATTTAACCCATAAAAAAATTAGAGGAGGCCGTCCTTCAGTTATCTGTTTACACATTCTGAGAGGAGAGATTTGGTACTTTAAAACTTTTTAATGTCTTGAGTTTGTTTTCCTTTCTTTTATCACTTTTTTTTTAAAGAAAAAGAATGTATCTAGAGGGAAGTTTTTACTACAAAAAGATTCATTTTCCAAGTTCCAAGTGCATAGAAAATGAAGAACAAGAGACAACATCTATTAAACTCACACTTCACATTTTCAAAAACCGAAGTCCGCAAGTACAGATAGTACATGTACTACACGTGCAGCAATATTCTAGGAACAATGAAGGCCAGTCAAGATCAACATAACTGGGTCTACGTTTAAGGAGCTGACGATTAGCCGAGGATACAAACACCTAATGGTTTGTAAAACAAATCTTTCCCCATCTGTCAGCGTTCTAACACTGGGATCTCTTATTTTTACTCCTGTAGGATTCTCGGAGGTATTTTCTTTGATAACGTGTTTGTTTATTTGTTTTTACAAACACTTTGTGTATAACGAAGTTTTTCTGTAATTAACTGTGACGGAAACACAAAAAGGGCACTAATAATATTTTAGGGTCATCGGCCCTTTCTCCAGGAACGCGAGGAGGCAGCAGGTACAGATGATGAAGCAGAGGTCTGCTCAGAGTGAAGAGCAATCTAGCTGCATGATCCCCGACATCAGACGGAAGGAACATCTTTGAGAAACCAAGTCCTCTGCCTAAACCCTGCCCAGACCACAATACAGTCAGCTTTCAGCCTAAAGCTGGTCTGCCAGGAAACAGCATTTTGAGGCTACAAAATATTTAGTAATATGACAATACTCTATTCATGCAACTCAATAGAAAAAATAAACAACCCAGGCAAAAAAAGGGCAGAAGACCTGAAAAGACATTTTCTAAATAAGACATACAGATGGTTAATAGGCACATGAAAACATGCTCTACACTGGTAATTATTAGAGAAATGCTCCAAACAACAGTGAGAAAATCACTTCACACTAGTCAGAATGGCCATCATCAAAAAGTCTACAAATAACAAATGTTGGTGAGGATGTGGAGAAAAAGGAACTGTTGTACATCATTGACAGGAATGTAAATTGGTGCAGCCACGGTGGGAAACAGAATGGAGGTTCCTCAAAAAACTAAAAATAGAACTACCACATAATCCAGCAATTCCACTCCTGGGCATATATCTAGAAAAATGA